TTCATCGTTCAAGTATCGCAGTTACTGGTTAACAAACAAGCTAGGGTGGGGAAACGTGATTGGACGAACTCACCTTCGAATTCGTCGACAAATAAGGTTTAGTCAATTCAATACGACCTAGTGGTACTACTTCAACAGCATTACGACGTACGTGATTCTCTACGTTTCTTCTTCCCGTTTTTACTTGGCTATTTGCTCTTTACTCACTGTTCACCAATTGCCAGCAATCTGGACTTAATCACTTTTATTATACGTGTCTTAAACGAATAATGCGTTGCACTTTCTGGAATGATTTCTTCTTTGCATCTACCTATGATGAACGTTCACTGGATGATAGATGCTATTCCTATTGGAAAAAAATCTCAAAACTCTATCTAAATCAATCGATGAACGGCTGTTATTAAAGCAATCATCATTAAATGCTCATAGAGCTAGGTGGCAGGAAGGTGATGCAAGCATCCGTTGTCTGCATAGGTGAAAACATTTCGTACACCATATGGATGACATGGCCCGACACGAGGAACTCAGTGGACCTGCTTGATGAAAAAGAATATCTATGTTTTTCTGAGTTTCATGAAAGCTTTTAACAGCTTGGTCTTCGAATTTTTTTCTTATATTTTATACTACTTGTCTGCATATTTAATTTCTCATAACCTGGTCCCTTAGTATGCTAGCTATATGTGCCTTTAGGACTGACAGGATCAGATGGTTAAATATGCTAATAACAAAAAAAATGATATTAAATAATTTTATTTAGTACAATCAGTTTACATTGCATATTAATAAAAGAGAATAAATTAACAGTAGTCTATTTCTTCTTTTCTTTTTCTTCTTCTTCTTCTTCTTCTTCTTCTTCTTCTTCTTCTTCTGCTGCTGCTGCTGCTGCTGCTTTGAGTACGTATGCTTTCTTTTGAAATCCAGCAATATAAGAATCTTCAGCATACAATGACGTCCTTTTATGACCATTATCACATTCATTGAGCACAAGACCTGTTCCATTTTTTCGAACACTATCGACGCAGTATACTCGGTTGCAGTCAGAATTAGGACATGTAGCTCGCCAACCATACTGATCAACACCCTTATATGTCCGAATCAGTGTCGGTAACGCGCAATTTGAATCTTTCTTCATATTGGATCGTTTGATAAAATCATCCAAAGATTCTTTAGCTTTCTCGCTGCGCCGCATTGTTTTAGTAACTATCAGAAAAAAAGAAAAATA